AACATATTTGACCCCTGTGACCTTGAATATGGGTGAAGGTCATTCATTTGAACAAACTTTGTAGCCCTTTATCTCAGCATGCCACTGGCCAAATATCATTACACTGGGCCTTTTGGTTATTCAGAAGAAGTTGTTTAAAGTTTTAAACATATTTGACCCCTGTGACCTTGAATATGGGTGAAGGTCATTCATTTGAACAAACTTTGTAGCCCTTCATCCCAGCTAGCTACTGGCCAAATATCATCACCCTGGGCATTTTGGTTATTGAGAAGAAGTTGCTTAAAGTTTTTAACATATTTGACCCATTTGACCTTGAATATAATTGATGATCATTCATTTGAACAAACTTTGTAGCCCTTCATCCCAGCTAGCTACTGGCCAAATATCATCACCCTGGGCATTTTGGTTATTGAGAAGAAGTTGCTTAAAGTTTTTAACATATTTGACCCATTTGACCTTGAATATAATTGATGATCATTCATTTGAACAAACTTTGTAGCCCTTCATCTCAGCATGCTACTGGCCAAAAATCATCTCCCTGGGCAGTTTGGTTAACGAGAAGAAGTTGTCTTTAACATATTGGACCCCTGTGACCTTGAATATCGGTGAAGATCCTTCATTTGAACAAACTTTGTAGCCCTTTACCCCACTTTGTGACAGGTAAGCTAAAAATATATATATAAATGAATCTTTGATTTAACAAGAGGCCCATAAGGCCTGTATCGCTCACCTGGATATCTAAGCAATCATGGCAGAATATTCTCCAAATGAGATCCAAGGGAATATGCCAGACCCCAAGGCCAATCCTTGTAGCATATATATATCTGTATTTGATTTTTTATGCCCAGCAATTTTATGAATGGTTTTGGGGTTGGGATCTCAAATATTTCCAATCTGTGACTCAGAAACTAGGTCCCTATGGTTGTGGCCAGACCCCAGGATCAATTATAATATCATGACTGCATTTGTCTCTTTTTGCCCAGCATTTGTATATATAGTTTTGGGGTGGGGATCTCAACCGTTTCAAAGTTATGACCCAGGGGTTAAGTCTGCAAGGGTGGGGCAAACCCTGGGGTCAATTCTAATATCATGACTGCATTTGTCTCTTTATGCCCAACAATTGTATATATAGTTTTGGGGTGGGGATCTTAACCATTTCAAAGTTATGACCCAGGGGTTAAGTCTCCAAGGGTGGGGCAGTCCCCAAGGCCATCCTGGAAGCATATGTGCATTCATCTCTTT